TCAGTAGTACAAAAATGACACGCAATATTGTTTGGTAAATCAAACATTTGGTATTGATTGTACGTTCCGGGGTACACAAATCTATTTCCATCAATGGTTACCATAAATTGGGGACACTTAATTCCAAATATTACTTCCCATTTTCCTTAAATAGGACAAGGTTGTTTATTTACAGGAATCTAGAGCGTACTTCCCACGAATAATGTAATAAAGTTTTCTATTTTGTTCTATCTACTTAACTGGATAGTGACCTAGATTAGAACTTGATTACTTTGAAAACGTTTTGTAAATGTTGAAATCTTTTTGCTCATTCGTGTTTATTTTGTGTTTAACATCACCGCAGTCAACTCATTCTTGAATTTAATTTCATTTTATCTCATCAATTTTTATAACATAAACATTTTCCCATACCGTGATACACTAGAATCTCTGTGTAAATCATATTATCATCCCTATCATAATCTTTGACAACACAGACTTAACAATACATATGTTTATAACAGGGATTTTGGACTCAAAAACCCATGGTAAGTAATACAGTCTATTGACAGGTGCGCCTACAAGGCTATGTGACCCGGTAGCCGTAAATCAAACCAAGTTTGACAACACACTAGCGCCCTCTTGATAATATCAAAAAATGTGCAACAAAATCCCTGTCATACTGTAGCTGTCATGACATATTTTTTATGCTTTTTGTATTTTCTGACAGAACTAACCGCGATAGCAGCGCCTCTGATCAGGCCATATATCCTTGTTTGACTATACTTTAGTATCTCTTCTTCCCACCAGGCCAGATAAGTTTGTCGTATTATAATTAATTTCATAGTTCGTATTCATATTACTTAGGTTTGGTAATTATGAATCTGGCATTATGAATATTAAACTGCCATTTACATATTTTCAATTTATAAGGAAATTTAATTAAATAGAATTTAATATAGCTCCGAGCATAATAATTTGCGTATCAGTATAAATTAAATATTTTAATAACTGTTATAAAAAGATTTATTAAGGTTAACCATTCTTCTGACACCTCGCTACTAGTAAATTATTCAAACTTTCGTGAGACATTATACTAAACTGATATATAAACACGGCTAAACACTCACGTGAGCGAGCGACGGGCCGCGTCCGCGAAATAATACCAGTACCACTTATCTTCATGAAGGGCCCCCGATGGGCTCGAAACTAGTCGGTGCCGCCACCGGACGAATATACGTGAGTGATTAGCCGTGTAGCAGAATAATTATGGTTGTCTTATTAAAATACAATTTGTTTTTGGCACACCTATTTATCATTCAATATCAAAGGGAACTTTGTTGTATAAGCACGTTGTGCGAAGGTAGGAATCTCATGTAAACAACAGAACTCTAGGTAATTATAACTGTTTCCTGCGACTCCTTCCTCGCGGAATTAAAAAAAATAGTAGCCTATGTGTTCTTCCAGAGTATGTTCTACATCTATGACAAATTTCTGTAATATCCAGGAAGTCGTTCTGTAGATACCTTCAAACAAACATCCATCTATCCAAACATTCGCATTTATAATATTAAGATAAGATAAGATAAGATAAGCCTTTATTCGCTGACCAATTTTTTTTTTTTTTTTTTTTTACATAAACTTAAACTACTATTTTTTTTTTTAACTGAAAAAATTGAATTTGTAGATTTGTTTTCAGCTACCAGCTGCTTTGGCAGGATGTCCTTCGACATAGGCCTCCCCTAGACCGTTCCACAGTTCCTTGTCCCGAGCTAATCTTCTCCATCCCTTCGGTAAGTCATCTTCCCACCTCTTTGTTTGACGTCCTCTCTGTCGTTTTCCATTTCTGGGGTACCATTCCATAACTTCTTTTGTCCATTTGTCTTTATTTGTTCTCATTATATGTCCTGTCCAAGTCCATTTTAGTTTTTTGATTTTCTTAGAAACATCACTTACTTTTGTTTTTTCCCTGATTTTTGAAAGAGTCCATCGATCTCTTAGCTTTATGTTTAACATGCTTCTCTCCATGTGACGTTGGCAATGTGTTAGTTTTTGGTTGTCTCTGTACGTAGTAGGCCAAGTTTGGCACCCATAAGTTTGGCACCCATTTATAATATTACTAAGATAGTAATATGAGTATGGAGGGGTGTAACAGGGTAGAACTTATATATTGTAAATTTCGATACATTCACGTCTTAACATAAATTAGATTCGCAAAACCAAATGTATAGGTCTAAGCTAAATATGTTGTTTTTAGGGTTCCGTACCTCGAAAGGGGAACCCTTATAGGATCACTTTGTTGTCCGTCAGTCTGTCTGTCAAGACCCTTTTTTGTTTTATAAATTAATGACCATTTTTTTTTGTTAAATAATAAGATCCCAATTTTTAAGGCAAACATCTTTTCATAAGAGCCATCAAAATTTTACCGTTGTCATGAAATCTTTTTGCAATGTTTAAAAGAATTAGATTAAAAAAAAGTTGCTATCAAAGTTATCTATATTATTTTTTTATTGAGAAATCTCTCGTTTATTTAAATCGCGCTCACATGAAAGCACTTTCTTTATCTTGAATAGTTTTACTTTGTGTAACATTCATTATTAATGAAGACACGGCAAGATAAAATGTTATTCTTCAAACAGGGCCTTTTTGAATACGTTTAGAAAATTAGAATTGAAATTTACGGGAAAAATGTTTAAGAAATGAAATAATATTTAAACGTAATTAAAGCATATTTATTTTGAGCTAGCTGTCGCCCGCGATGCCGCCCGCGCGGAATATTTTTTTTTGTATATTTTTATATCATTTCATTTAAAGCTGACTAACAAAAACCACAATGATATTTCGACTTATCTAAAAAATAGTAGTTAAGACTTCCAGACTATATTCTATGCAAAATTTCAGCAAGATCTACACAGCCGTTCTGGATATCATCTAACAATCAATCATCCATACATCCAAACATTCGCATTTATAATATTAGTAAGATTTAAATGAATTTGTGGTCTTTCATGAGACTGCTTTCGCTTTAGAACTATAAATAGTCGATTATAATTATTCTTTCTTTTAAGGCACTATTCAATATCGAAATAAAATAAACAGATTAAAGCTTTAAAAGCATCAATAGCCTAATGGTTAAGGGTACGGATTTCCGAACACGATTTCGGTGGTTCGGATCCCGCCATTCGACTATTGTCGTAAACAACATCCTAGCACAAGCCTAGAGCTTGCAATGATAAGAGGAATATTATTAAATTTACAAAAAAAATCTGTTAATATTTCGTTTTAAAAATAAGAAATAAAATAAAAAATGAGCTTAATTTTTATTATCAAAAATCACATTTAATACTACACAGAAAAATAAATAAATAATTAAGATTAAATTAAATTAAGATAAATAAATAAAATTTTATTTAACATATCATCGGCATTATTAAAGAGACAACGACGATTTTTCTTTCCAAGACATCGAAGACAATATTTTATGATAAATTTTTTTTTATCTACTCTCCGACTAAAACAAGCATCATTGAAATACAATTAAATATTCTTTGTCGCTTTTTTCATTTTTTTTCCTTATAATTTTTACAAAATATCCTTACCGATAGTCATTTGTTTCGTAAAATATGTATTAATTAACTATATGTTTTAACCGCCATAAAATATACTTATAATATTTTCATGTAAATATCATTTGATTTTTAGGTAGTGTATACGGACGGTTAATTGGATAAATGACACATATAATATTGGTCACTGAAAATGTCAACAAAAAAGTGTTTCTTGGGCCGATTGAATCCACAGTATAAAAAATACCAATGGTCCGATTGATTGATTGGCCGATCGTCACAACGGGAAACACTCTAACAAAGTATTTTAATTAACAATAATAAAATAAATAATTATTTAAAATTTATGAAATATTACGCAGTAGTTCCAGGTGCAGTTATATACATAGGAGCGGGTGTAGGTCTATGTTTAGGTAATAAATAAGCTCTGTTAGATGCATAATCTTTGCCGTAACCACCGCCTGTTGAGTACGCGTAACTACTGCCGTAGTCTGAATTGAAATCTGACGAACCACCATCGAAGTAAGACGAGTAGTGTGTCATTGGGTGATGATGCTGAAAGATAATATACAAATTATATTTAGCATATGACATTATCATCATCAGCTCACTATACGTCCCCACCGAGGGACTCGAATCCTACGCTAAGTTAGGGTGACTAGGCTATAGTCTACCACGCTGGCCCAGTGCGGGTTGGTTGACTTCACACATATCTTTGAATTTCTTCTCAGATATGTGCAGGTCGCATCACGATGTTTTCCTTCACCGTAAGAACGTCGGATAAATGTACATATATAAATCGGAAATAGAAAAACACATTGGTACATGGCGGGATTTGAACTCAGGACCATCAGATTGCAAGTCTAGTGCTTGACTAGTTCTATATATTTTAATTAGAAAATAATTTTCAACTTATACATTATTAAATTAGATTGATTCAATTGATTTTAATTTCATTTAACACGTTCACTGGTACGTCCATTTTTACGTATAAAAGTTAACACATATAGTTTGGTTTGGTGGCATTGAAAGTGTTAAAAATTATTCATTATTTTAAAAAATTAAATGCTTATAGCATAATATTAATCCTAACGTTTTAATTTTGATTAAGCTGTGATTTGTTTAAGAATAGCTGTCGCGTGCGACACCGTCCGCGCGGTAAAAAATAACATTATTAGTAGCCTATGCGTTCTTCCAGACTATGTCCTATATGTATGCCAAATATCATCGAGATCTGTTCTATTGAGATATATTTATCTATCTAAACATTCGCATCAATATATAAAAGAAAGTCGTGTAAGTTACACTATTTATAACTCAAGAACGGCTTTACCGATATGGTATATGGTTGAAAATTGGTGAGGAGGTAGCTTAGAGCCAGGAGACGGACATAGGATACTATTTATTCTATTTTTTTTTCGAATTTATGCCTTGAAGAGCTGCTTTTTATTAAACTTATCTATATATTAAGTTTTTTTATATATCCACGCGGACGGAGTCGCGGGCGACAACTAGTTTATAATATTATTAAGATATAATGATATCAAACTCGGTACGCTTGTCAGTTTGTGACACTTTAATGACAGCGTAAAACAAAGACGTCTGAAATAGAAAAGGTAAGGGTTGACTTTCGTAAATTCTAACAAAGTTCAAATAAAGCCCGCATTTAACTTATTAGTTAAGTAAAATAATTTTCACTTTTCACTGAACCTTTTAATACGACAATTATAATGTTAAACAATGTTCTTTTACATGATAAAAGAAGAATGCATTAGATTTTTTTATAATACTAGCTGTCGCCCGCGACTCCGTCCGCGCGAGATTAAAAATAGATGTTGGCCGATTCTCAGACCTACTCAATATGCTCACAAAATTTCATAAGAATCGGTCAAGCCGTTTCGGAGTGGTATGGGAACGAAAATTGTGACACGAGAATTTTATATATAAGATATATATAATAATTAATAATAAGATATATAAAAAAATTATATATAAGCTAAAGAGTATCTCATTTCGGACACATAACATCGGGTAAGATCGTGCTCAGGTGCTATTTAGTTTTGACTAAAAATACTCCTCTTATAATATTACATAAGAGTGTCGGTGGATCAGGGGTTAAAGCACTTGATTTGTAATCTGTAGGTCCTGGGTTCGAAAACCCACCATGTACCAATGTGTTTTTCTATTTACATACATTTATCCGAAGTTCTTACGGTGAAGAAAAACATCGTGACACCTGCACATATCTGCGAAGAAAATCAAAGACGCTTGAAGTCAATCCGCACTGGGTCAGCGTGGTTTACTATGGCCCAGTCACCTGTAACTTAGGTTAGGCTCCGAGCCCCTCAGTTGGGACCTATAGTGAAGCTGATGATGATGAATATTGCTAAGTTAAATTAAGATACTTTATAGATTAATAATAATACTATCATAATATAACTAAGTTAAATGTATTTACCTTGCATGACTTCAATGTACTAAGTAAACTCGGCACCAACAAAGCTGCAACTAAAAGTAGTTTCTTTATCAAAAGTACCGCTAATAGGATTGGTATGAGCAGTAACTTTGTCTTCAGCGTCGCTAAAAGATTGAGCAGTGGTATCATCACTGCCAGCTTTTTCTTTTTACCTCGAGCTGAAATATTTATGAGTCTTAGTTTATAGTTTAATTTATAATAGTTGAAACTTATTTAAATTAGTTAAATATTAGTTAATATAATTTAGTTGAATATTATTTAGTTTTACTTTAGTTGAATTTTAGTGAGAGTGAAAAAGTTCGCGGCACCGCGAAATAATACCAGTACCACTCACCCTGATGAAGGGCCCCCGATGGGTTCGAAACTAGTCGGTGCCGCCACTGGACGAATATACGTGAATGTTTAGCCGTTTTTATATAAGAATTTTAGTAAGTTTAACTTAGTCAAATATTAATTGGTTTAGTTTAGTTGTGTTGTAATTTACTGTGTAATCTTAGTTAGTATAAGTTTATGTCATTTTTTTATGTCAAATAAGACAAATACCATCAACACAGCAAGAAAGAAATGGACAAAATATATCGTGAATGCTAATTAATAATATGACTAAAAATATATGAGTTACAAAAGCTAAAAGCTAAAAACTCTGTACAACAGCGATATTTCTCAAAACTTTAATAGAAACTACTAAACAAAACTCGTTCTCACTTAATAGTACTTTGTATTGTCTAGGTCTTAAGTTCGTCAACTGATTTCAAGTTCCAATTATTTTGAAGCAACTGTAGTAGTATCATTAAAACGCAATTAGTCCCACCTTCCCTGTAAACTTGACCGAGACTAACTTTGAGTCTCACGGTACAATATTATGCTGGCAAATGCTAGTCAGATTTATTGACACGGATTTTTTTAATCCATTAGCTATATTTTTCATGGTCCAATTTAAATATAGTTGTTTACTTTATTCGGTTGAAGTTTAATGGAGCGATAATTGTACTGACACGTTTTTTTTGTCTATATTAATTCGTAATCTTACTAGTATTACAAATACGAAAGTTTTGATGGATGGATGTTTGTTAGAAGATATCTCCAGAATTACTGAACGAATCTTGATGAAATTTGACATAAATATAGAACACAGTCTGGAAGAACACATAAGCTAATTATTTTTTTTTTTAATTCCACACGGACGATGTCACAGGCGACCGTTAGTGTAGGAATAAAAGGGAAAAATAATAATTTTGTAAATCAATATTTACGAGACCCAATCTTTTAGTTAGCAGTGAGTAATTTTTACATTAACATTTGTAAATTTTTTTTTATAAAATACATTTAAATAGACTTAGACAAATGACGTGTAAAGATCTGATATAATGATTTACACTTTAATCTCATCATGTGTGTACAATCTCTTAGAATTTGCCAAATGATGTGAAACAAGATAAATTGTTTGGGTTTAGCTGTGCCTTGCTTCGTAATTTGAAAGCCTTAAGATTAAGAGCCACTGTTTTATAAACCCTGTGAAGTGTGAACGACTAATATTTTGCTTGAAGTAAATTAAAAAAAAATCAGTCGCATTTCTTTTTTATAATTGACACAAGAATATTTGACGTTATCTGTCGCTTTAACAGCTTGACAGATTTGGAAAAATAAAGTTGCGTTCGATTACTATTTTATCCTGAAATATAGGATTAAATTTAATTACTATTTAGTAAACAATATTGTAGACTATTATTATAATTTTACAACATTTAAAGCAACGTTTACACTGTCACAAAGCCGTTTAAATCCGTTTTAACCCTAAATGTATTAAATATTTGCACATTGGACCACATAATAGCGATGCTGCTCAATTTGAGTAAATCCTCATTGCATATGTAAATATTGGAAGTGAACAAACACCACTCTCGGTTAACCTAAACTGTATAAAAGCTTTAATAATTTTGATTTGGTTATATGGCGTACTAGCTGTCGATACCGTCCGCGTAATGTCCCGTCACGTAATTAAAAAAAAAACTTAATTAGCCTATGTGTTCTTCCAGATTATGTTATACATCTATGTTGAATTTCAGTGAGATCCATACAGCCGTTTTCGAGATATCTTCAAACAAACATCCATCCATCCAAATATTCATTTATAATATTAGTAACAAGTAAGAATTTCTTGTACTATTTCCCAATTCTTATTGTATTGTTATTAATTCCCGAGTCAATTAACTATGCCATCATTTAACGGTTCATTGACATTATTCTGATACCGTTTAATATTAATATTCGTTAATAATCTGTGTTCCGTTATCTCTATAAGTCCTGTTTATTTTGGTAATTGCCTACTATGAGTTTGATTGTCACTAATACGAACTTTATCATTGAACTTTGGGTGAATAGACCAGGGTTCAGTGTATGGATATTTTAGGCTTATGTGTTAAGGTTCAACGTATACGAGGAAAGTGCTTTGCTCTATTAGACTACTTCCTTATATGTACGGTTATAGACTGTACCAAAGTTGACTTACATTTACACCAAAGACCAGTCTATATTGTAGTTAACGGTGGACTGTAAAATAAATAGCTATATCAAAAAATAATTAGTACTCACCATCATCATCAGTTTCTTCAATTGTTCTAGCACCTTCTGGAAGATCAACTTTCAATCCTTTAGTTTTAAAGAATTCTTTTACTAATTTCATCAAGTATTTTGTAAATTCCGACCACTCTGACATTAAACTTCTCGGTTCCATCAGTGCTTCTTCTTCTTCGTTCTTCATTACTTCTTTTATTGCTTCTTCATCAAGCGGTACAAAACTAATCATCTTACTTGCTCTTATCGTTTCGTTTGAATATATATCACCAAAGAATGTATTCGTCGCTATTTTTAAAGCTTTATACTTCATACAAGATAGCGCTTCTCCTTTCATATAGCAAGCATCTTTTACATGTCCAAGATATCCTTCTTCTAAAGTCTTTGCTTCTTTTAATACAAGTACCAAGACAGTAATTTGCAATACAAATGTTTTGGTATAATCCATTTTAATTTAAATCTTTAAGTTTCGGTCTGAAATTAAGTTATTTTCCTTTTATTATAAGGTAGCAGCAGAAGCAGTATCAGAACCTGGATTAGCCGAAATAGTGATGCGACCGCTGCCCATAGACGTGCCGACGTTTAATAGACGGAGGAGGGGCACACAGAAAAGAAATGTTTCCCCTTTTCTGGGCGACCCTTCCTTCGTCAAATCTAATAATAATAATAATAATAATTTTTTATTTGCATAGACACACACAATATTACATAACAGTTTAGTTTACAAATTAAAAAAAAAAAAACAAGTTTCAGAAATATTTTAACACATTAGTTGTTACCATTCCAAATAAGCTAGAAGCTTGTGCTAGGACATGGTTATCTACTAGACCATTAGGCTATTGTCGCTTGATTTGATGTTATATCAGTGCGCACCCGCTTACAAATTTTAGGTGCTGTTATAAACTAAAGAAACGTTACAGTGATGTTAAAATAAAAATAAAAAATGGAGAAAGTAGGGAGAAAATACTACAAAAATATTAAAATATTAAGGCCAAATTGTAAATAATTCCTCAGTCTCTTCATAGGTTAATTCCTGCAAGTAGCTTTTAACTGCTCTTTTGCACTTTAGATAAGGAAGGGGATATATATTACAAGCTTTATTGATGGTGTTGTAGAGGTGGCAGCTGATGCTCGGGTAACTACGGCTTGCCAAAGCAGTTTTGGTTGTGACAGAAGGGCAAACCATATATTTACGTCTTTTGTTCTTGAATGACGCTGGTTGATAGGAAAGTGTAGAGTGTACACGTAAGGTGATGTTTAACGCACATAGCTGACGGACAGTGAGTACCGAAATGTCCTTATACAGCTGGGTAGTCGGATAATGATATGGTTTGTGGAGCATGACTTTCAGAACAGCTCTTTGTGCCCTCTCAAGCCGAAGTAAATATGTTTTATAGGTAACGCCCCAAGCAGATATGCAGTAGGTAAGGAGTGACTGAGCTAAAGCGAAATAAACAGTTTTTAACAAGGGGCCTGAAGTAATTTTTCTTAATTTTTTCATAGGGAACATAATTTTACGAACACGCGACACCGTCTCATCGATATGTTTCTGCCAACTCAGTGTGCTATCGATGTAAACGCCTAGATATTTAACACAAGAGCTTCTGTGTAAAGGAGGACAGTGGCAAGATTTATCTGTGGAGTGACAGCTATGTGCTTTCAGATCTGACATGATGGGCTGTGTAGCTGAGTTGGCTGAGAAAGCAATATAGTGGGTTTTAGTAACATTCAGCGTGAGCAAGTTTGATGATAGCCAGTCCATCACTAGGCCAATTGCATGTTCAGCTGCTCTGTGAGCAGAACCCCATGTTTTTCCGTTTATAATTAACACAGTATCGTCTGCATAAACTAGAATGTTACAGTTTGGAATTGACAGCTGGCACAATCTATTTATGTATAGTAAAAATAGGGTAGGACCAAGTACGCTACCCTGTGGTACGCCAAAGGTTAGGATCATATCGTCACTAGTATAGTTTTCAATCTTGACACATTGGGTGCGATTTGTAAGATAGTCATGGAAAAGTTTTAGCGATATATCTCTTATACCTATGTCCTCTAACACTCGAAGGAGAGTAGGAATGGAGACGGTGTCGAATGCTTTGGCTAGATCGAGGAAAATAGCTATAGTTTTAGTTTTAGAGTCAAGATTCTTAGCAATTTGATTAGTTAATTCAAGAACAGCATCTTCGGTTGAGACGCCTCTTCTGAAGCCGAATTGATTTGGGGCAATTACTTTGTTATGTTCGAGATAGCTAAGCAATCTTTTATTTAAAATCTTTTCCATAATTTTAGACAAAGTAGTAAGCACTGATATAGGCCTATAGTTCTCAACACGATCTACATCTCCTCCCTTAAATATAGGAGTGACCACTGCTTTTTTAAAAGTATCTGGGAAAATACCAGTTGATAAACATAAATTACAGATATGAGTAATCACTGGGACAAGTACATGTTTGGCAGCTTTAATAATGCAGGTCGGTATACCATCATGGCCAACTGCACAATTATTTTTTAAAAATGTTATTATGCTATCTATTTCTGAGTCATTAGTTTCCAGCAAAACAATCGAGTTTCCCTGATAATTAGTTACATGGTGATATTTAAGATTTGCATGTATTTTGTGCTGGCCTTGATCAATTCGCTGGGCTAAATTCGCTCCAACATTGGCAAAGTAAGTGTTAATGGCATTAACTGAAGTTATTGGGTCATTTGACATACTAAGAAGATTAACAGGTTTGCTAGAAGTGGAGGAATTTTTGTAAGTAACATTATTTATAACATCCCATGTTGCTTTGGGATTACCCTTGGCCTTGAGGAGTTCTTTTTGGTCAAACTCACGTTTGACATTCTTTAACAATTTATTAAAATAATTTCGATATCTTAAGTATATTATTTTGGCCATAGCATCTTCAGGATCTTGTATTGTTTTTTTACGAAGACGATCTCGATTTCGTAAGCACCTAAGGAGTCCAGGTGATATCCATGGTCTAAGGATCTGTTTTCTATGAGGAACTTTTCTTAATGTACTGTGCTGGTTTACTACGTTAATTATTATGGATATAAGTTGTTCCACGCCTTCATTGGGATCCGTACAGGTCAAGATATGTGAGAAGTCAGTATTTTCTAAGCTGGTAATAACATTTGGTAAGTCTAAATGTCGTATCATGCTTTTTGGTTTAGTAACGTCCCAAGGATCCTGCTCAATACAAAATAGGATAGGTGCATGATCAGTAATATATGAATCAAAAACAAATGTCGTAGAAGTTTTATTCGTTTTTAAAAAAATATGGTCGAGACAATTAATAATCTACTCTTCCCCTTCCCATCTTTTTCATATAAGAACAAGGTAGGGGTAAGAAGAATAAAGTTAGTCTAATATTACTAGTTTTCAAAATTAAAAGAGATTTAAAATACTAAACGTTAGTTAACTATGATTAAAAACATCACAGACGCTCAACTCAAACTTAATAAATCCCTTTGCGGTTTAATTAAAAGTATAGAAGCAGTTCCTAGTATCAGTTTAAAACTTAGGTCGTTAACCTGTAATGACACGCTCTATCAATAATAAACTTTATCCCGTATAACGTCTAGAGTTTATCTTTCTTGTGATTAATATATTTTGCGATGATTTTACTAATATTAATAAACTAGCTGTCGCCCGCGACTCTGTCCGCGAGGATATATAAAAAAGCTTGATCAGTGTAGCCCACCCATCCATCCATCCACATCACATCCATCTAAACACTCGCATTTATAATATTAGTAAGTTAAATAAAAAGAAGCTTTACAAGGCATAAATTCGAAAAAAAAGTAATAAAAAAAGAATAAATAGTATCCTATGTTCGTCTCCATGCTCTAAGCTACCTCATCATCAATTTTCAGCCATATCGGTAAAGCCGTTCTTGAGGTATAAATAGTGTAACCAACGACTTTCTTTTTATATATATATATATATATATATATACATAGATGCGAACATTTAGATTGATGAATGAATGTTTGTTTGAAGGTCTCCAGGCATGCATAGATCTAGCTAAAATTTGGCATAAATGTTGAACATAGTCTGGAAGAACACATTATCTACTAATGAAGTTTTTTTTAAAATTCCGAGCAGACGAAGATGCGGATAACAGCTAGTACTTAATAAAATTGAAGGGTTTATATGTAATATTGAAATAAAATATTCATGTATGTTGCGAATAGCGAAAATCCAGTTTTGAAATGATTGCCTGGATGTCCGCACATCCGCGTTTGTTCCGGGTAATCTCCGGAACGGTTGGACCGATTTTGACGGGACTTTGACGGGAAGGTAGCTGATGCATACGAGCATATTATATACTACTTTATTACCTAAGGTAACGAAGTTTTGAACGACAGGTAATTATCCCATAAAATTCTAACTCTATCACACGAAATGCAACAACAATTCCAATTATAAAGTTTGATGTAACAATTTAATAATATAGAGGAAAGTTATATGCTACTGTTTTGTTCATAATTAAGCTACAAATAAACGTCATTCTAGTAACAAAACATATTGCTGTCTCATTTTTTTCTAGGAGTTTGAAAGAGAGGGATATAATACACAGTAATTGTTAGTCGCATGTAACATTTTCTATCGGAATCTATGATTATTTAAACCGTAGCAGATCGTGAAATATGTTAAATATAATGTTTACAGTCTTAGTAAACTAGCTGTCGCCCGCGACCCCGTCCACGCGGTATAAAAAACACTTAATAAGTAGCCTACGTGTTCTTCCAGACTATGTTCTACATATATATGCTTGCTTGTGCATAATTAAGTAGCAAGTTTATATATCAAGTATGTATTTTCTACTTTGAAATGTACACTATACAAATAAACACTTTTGAATAAGTAAAATAAGATATGTTGAATTTATAACGAAACTAGAGATCGCCCATTATCCCATCCGCGCGGAATAAAAAAACTTAATAACTTGCCTGTATGTTCTTCCAGATTACATTCTATATCTGTGCAAAATTTCATAAAGATCGATTGAGCCGTTTCGGAGATGCCTTTAAACAAACACCTATATAAATTTACGCATTTATAATATTAAGTAAGTTATGCCACAACGTCGTATCGATATATTAATAATTTTAATCGCTTAATTGACTATGATAGAGTTGTTCTCATACATGTACGTAATTTGCACCAATATATGTAGCTACCAGGACGTGGAAACTTGAGGACTTTCAGCTCATTTGATAGAAAGTGATTGATTGCTTGATATTACTAAACCTTTACTAGGAATATATAGATTAGTAGCTGTCGCACGTGACTCCGTCCGTGCGGAATTAAAAAACTTAATAAGCAGCCTATGTTTCTTCTAGACTGTGTTCTACACTTGTACCAAATTTTAATTAGATCCGAGAAATCGTTCTGGAGATACCTTCAAACATCCATCCATTTAAACTGTCGTATTTATAA